TCCAGTGCCACAGAAAACATCCTTCATTCTGTCTGATTTTCTTTTCCCTTCTGTTGTCTACAACTTCCAAACACACTGTATCACAAATGTCACAGTGAAAGTGTACTTTCTTTGCTCTTCTCCTTCATACAACTAGTATATATTGCTCCATGAGCCTTCAGTGACTTCTGTTTGATTTGATTTAGCCTCCCCGGGAGCCCCTGGCTCCAAGTAAGAGTTCCCTCTGAAGCAATTCAGTAACACTACCCTGGTATTAGCAAGCTACCTCTGTCCATTGCCAAGAGGTTGTGGTCCACTGGTGGATATTAAAAGAATTGAAGAGTAGAAAACCACCTCTAGAAACTTGCTACTAAGGGAGTGTTGCTCATGTTGTAAAGGAGTCAAAAGAAAAATTTATAAGATTTCCAATTTGGAAATTTCAAGAGCAAAAAATCAAGAAAAATGAGAAAACTGAACTCTGAGGGGTCACTCCATCTCCATTTGGGATGGAGACAATGTCTTAGCATATTGGCTGAAGCAACACCTACTGCAAGAAAAATAATTCTGTCATAAATATGGGGCATGTCATCCGTAAATGAAATGCTCTTCAGATAGGTCAACAATTCATCAACAGAACACTCTGGAAAATTTCTGGGTGGATATTTAGTATATCTGTATTCCTATCAATACTCTTATGTGTGTACATAATTCATACCGTCAAATCTTCCATTCACATTTATAATTCATCATATCCATTGTGTGAGTTTTACCTACACCAACAAATCCTATTTTTTTAAGATTACTTTGGATTAGATAGTAAAAGTCTATACCTAGGCCTCTAATATTGGGAAAGGAAGAGGTTAGTTATGGTACTGTGTAGGTGGGTATGATAGCAGAAAATTATGCATCTCAAAAAGCCAAATCAAAAAAGTAGCAAGGGATCTAGAAATAAGAGAATATAAGAACCATGATGAACAGTGATGGAAATGGAGTGAAAATATGAATCCAATTTTGGAGAACTGAGTGGAGTGGCAAGAGAACTCTGGAAACTGTATTGCCACCATCACTGCAATGTCTAAATCATCACCAGTCACTGCAGTTCAGAACAGGTTAAAACTTGGGCCCCTTTTCCTTGAATTTCTGTGGCTGTCGTTCTAGCCTAAAGCCAAAGAACAAGGCTTACTGGCTCTTTCTGCCAGCCCTCCCACATTCCGCTCTGCCCCTTCCTGTGTACTCTGCACAGCAAGCAGCCCACCCGCAGCATCTTCGCTCTTTGATGTTGCCAGAGCCTTTTTCCCACCATCCCTGAAACAATTACCCAAGCGGTGGCTCAGCTCTGGATCATCATAAGACAGCAGCCAGCCAGAAGCCAGGCTGCCTTGAGCCTTGTGAGTGGATATGCCAGGCATCTGTCGAAATTCTCCAGTGAGGTCAAATTAGTGGGGGGCAGGGGGACTTCTCTTTGAATGGGAGAATACCATGGTTGCTGTAGAACACAGAGTTCTTTTGACTTGGATTTTAATGAGTCTCCACTTCAATAGAACCTACGTGTCCCGAAAGACAAGGGCAAGGGTGGAAAGGCAACATTTACCTCAACCAGTTGCCTGAGGCAGATGCTGCAGATTGCTGGCAAGACCTGGGTCACAGTGATTCACTAAGAAAACAGGTTTGATCTTTAGTGTGTTATCTCCTACCCAGCAAGATAACTGCCTGCATGTGGGCAGAGCAGGGTCTGCAAGAGAATCTGTGCTAAACTTGAAAGAGGAAGGAAGTTGTGATTACGGGAGAAAGTTCTCTATAGGCCTGAGGCATCATTTTTGTATAGAGCTTAAAGCAGAGTGAATGTGTGTCATAGGCAAGACTTACTGGCATTAGAAAGATGGAATGGACTTCAGAGAAAAAAATCTCAATGAGGACTTTGTAGAAAGATATAAATGCATACAAGGGTCCTCAGTCCATTAAAATAGTCATAATCTTTCCCTGACTAATTTGATACAATATGAAAGAGTTAACTGAGTGACCTTGCACTTAGTAGGCTAAGGACAAAAGGCTTTATTTGAGGAAGTTTCCTTAATACTCATTTGCTAAGTAGACTGGAGAGGATTTCCTGGGAAGAACTTCTAAGGAAAATTCACAGCTCCATTTGTAAGCCACACTAAGTTTTTTGTTTATAGGAGACATATGCAGGTCACCTAGCATTCATTTCCTTTTAATTTCAAACATGACCCTATTTGAATCACCTCCAACAGATAAAGGGATACATTTTTTATTCATGAATATCCTTCTTGATTTAAAATTGGCGACTAATTTTGCGAAGGAATCACCAAGAAGACTCCTTACTAGATGAGTTATGAAGCTACCTGCTCACCTTAAAAATCTTCAAATTTTCCATACTTGAAGAATTTTACCCAGAAAGACAAGGCCCTAATGGGGGCTGAGTCACAGAAGAAAAGTTCAGTTTCAATGATCAACTCCTATATTTGATGATAAGGGCAACAAACATTTTCCTTTGAATATCATAGAGCCAGAAAAAATCCAGCACTAATATGCTGCTGAAACAAAGAGGGAAGTAAGACTCAGCCCGGGGGTGACATGGTTTCAAGAGTCTGTATGTGCCAGAGGTGACCTTGCATGAAAATCTGGAAGACATTACAAGGCCTCTAGGATTCCACAGGTTTGATAGCCAGCTCTCCCTATCAAACATTCACCTCCGTTAGCTACAGCAACTCAGAATTTCCCAACATTAGCTTCCATGCAAAAGTACAAGCTGGACGTGGTCTAAAAACTTTAACAATAATTGATGAGCTCATTTGCGGTATCTTATCACTAGATGCCATCATTTAATCCTAGCTCAGTATTTACAATATTTTTTAAATTGTGTATCATACATAGTTGGGGGCAGAGCTCTGGACAAAAACTAAAAATCTCTGGAACAAATGCCCAGAAAATTCTCAGAAGTCTGAAGCCAGAAATATATGTACTTCAGGCAATTGTTTCAGTGAAGGCTGCCAGGAGGAACTGTAGATTAACATCTTCTCCATCTATATCTATTATTTTCATGATTAACAGTTAGTAACCATTGAGCCCTTAGAGAGTGTACAGCAAGACGACTGCAGAAACATTGCCCCCCACTTATCTCCAACTGGATGAGCACCTCCCTGGAGGGCAGTGGGACTGTCCATGCACCCCAATCTCAAAGCAGACTGGACAAGGTCTTCATAGTCTGATGAAATAAAGGAAACCAATAGGAAGAGCTATTTCTTTCTAATTAAATGATGCAGCATTTACTAAATCTGAACACCCGCCCACATTTTCTTTTTGGGAGTTGAACCAAAGGATGATTCAGACATGGAGACAGGCAGCAGAATCTGGGGAATGAAGAGTCATGAGATTCCAGTTTTATTCCTGGCTCTAAGAAGAGTTGCCATGTGACCAGAGAGCTACTTCTCAGTGGGTCTCTCCATTTTCCTTGCTTTGAAAGAATACAGTCTGATGCTCATCCTGTAATTTCCTCTGCGATTTCCTTGCAAAAAGGGGGTATAAGGGAATATATGAGGTACAGCAAAAGGCTATAAAGGGCATTTAAGCTCCTTAGTCCTAGAAACCAGGAAAATACAAGTAATCTTCATTTTCAATAAAGCAATCTAACAATATTTCTAATGTAGACATGGGATGAAGCAGGGCGTTAACCTGAATTTATACAACCCGAAATTGAACAAGTAAGCAAATCAAGTTAAAGGACAACATAGGTTAGATGACATTATCTTGTATAAACCCACAACCCAGATCCGACAAGCATTTTAATACCCAAAAAAGAAAGCCGAGGACAGCAGGAGGTTGGGAGATCTCTCACAACTAGAATGATTCTTACGAAGGAGATGAAACCCAATAAATGAAGCAGGAAAGACACAGCATGTACAACAGCCAGAATGCTGAGGTCTTGGTCATTAAACACTTGGAGGGGGGATGAGGATCTCAAGTTTAGAAAGCTTTTGTTATAATGGAGGCTATTTTTTTCTCTTGAAATAATTCAAATTTAGAATAGAAGTCAGTGACATGAAGTTTTCTTTACCAAGTTATACTTCAGCATCAGTTTTTGCTGAAGTACACCCATTCCCTGAAGCACAAAACATGTCAGAGTTAGAAATACTCCAGTACAATGACAATTGACATCCAAAATTAATGACAGGCCAGCAACAAAGTTCCCTCTATTTCACATGAACACAGTTTGGTGTTGCAATTGAGTAAAGTCTGCATCAAGACTAATCAGATACATATTAATCATAATGCTCAGTAGTTTGGGGGCACTTGCATTTGTCAAGAGAAGGCTCCATTCTTGCAAACAAATAACCAAATAACTTGCAACTTTACCCCGGCATATACCTACATTCCAGAACCTAGTCACTAAGAGACAGGGCACAGTTCTTGGTTTGCCATTAACTATAAACTCTCGATGAGTCCCATTCTGTTTGAGACTGGATGTTTGTATTCTGAAACGAATCAGCAAGGTAAATCCAAAACAAGAGGCATAGCCATCAAGATCATTTATTTTTACCCAAGAAAGGACCAAATTTTCACTCAGCATAGGAAGACATTGTGGTTTCAAGACTGTTAGAGTATATGGAATCATTTTCTAGTCATTCCAAAATAAATGTAGGACTGTGAAGCCCTGTAAAAGCAGGAATTGAAAAAAAAAATCTGATACACACTTAAGGTTGGGCTAGGTACATAGTAAGAACGAGGTGAGAGCTGGTTAACTTATATGGAAAAGCAAGTAGAAGTTGTTTCTTGACCTTGGTGACTTTTTATTCTGGAACAAGAGGAAGAAACTTACAGAGAAGAGAAAAGATATCAAAGTCTATTGACATCACAGCTTTAAGCAGAAGTTGCAGATGCTACCTTCCTACTGAAGGATTATGCAGCTAGTTGCCAGTTCACCAAAATGGTGTACCCCCAGTGCCCTGCATTTCTCAACTCTTCTACCCTCGACCCCATCTGCTACCTGAAGAAATCATACATACCTCTTCCTCCAACTTCACCACCTTGGCCTGGGCGTTGCTCAAAGCCTGGTCTCTGATTTCAATGTGTCGCCTTTGGTCCTCGTTAGTAGAACGGGCAGTGGCCAGCTCTGCTTCCAGCTTCTCCTTCTCCCTCTGGCTTTCTTTATCTGTTAGGACATGAACTATCAGTACTTCTGCAGCTGGCCCAAAACCGCGCCTAAGTGGACAGGCAACCATGCCCATGACTAGATATTCTAGGGTTCTACATACAGTTAAAAGAACCAGGATCTCCGCGATCTGGACTCTTATCACCAGTTCTGCCACTAACTTATTGTATAATTTTAGAAAAGTCACTTAACAATGGTTGTACAAGAAGTGATGACAAAATAGATACAAGGTGTTATGGATAAGTATCACATGAAGGAGAACACACACACGCCCCAGAAGAGCAGGTAGGATTGTCACCTCAATTTTATTTGTTCAAACAAGCCTATATTGGCAAAAGGGCAACAGAGTCTCCCAAAAGTTTTCCCATTGTTTCCTCATGACAGTCTATTAAATAGAGTTTGAAATGGTACTCCTTAAAAATCTCAGAAACATGAATAAAAAGTAAAACACTTTACTCATGAAGGTTATTTTCTGACTAAGATCAAATCTATTAAACACGTCCTCTGCAGGAAAAATCTGACCCACATAATCTAGCATAACTCACTTAATCTCACAATCTGCTTCTCTTGCGAACTCAAGAGAGTATGTGGTAAAACCTGAATTCATGTTATGCTTTTCCCTGCTCCTCTCCTGCAGGGTAGGTTGGATGCAGGAGGAGCACAGGAAAGAACAGATAAGGGCTAGAGGGAAAACATCAGGATGAGAGGAATACAAACAGTAATTTTACCTGAAAAACATCTTCTACTTGAGAATTTCCTTTTCTGCTGAGTTAGAAATGTCAAGCCTATTAAAAGCTTAGGATATTTTTTAAAAGGGTCATTTGATATTTTTGTGTACTTATATATATTACACATGTAAATGTATCTAAACACAAATACAGATGTACGTGTATATTGCTAGGCATAATCTATGACCTTAGTCTGGAAGAACTCTTAGTGAGCAAGTAATGGTCTTTCTGGCTTGCATTTTACAGAAAATTCAGTTAAGCAGCACCTATATAATGAGAACTCAATATACATATGTAGATAGACAGAAGGTTTGAGAAAGAAAGCATCAGTGTGGGACAGTAGCCATACCTATAATTTCCCAGAGAATAGAATGATGATATAACAAATCAACATTTCAGTAAGTTACTACAGACTTATATGTGGTCTCCAAACAGTCTTTACACTTTGGTCCACATACTATTCTTATCTCAATCTGCACTCTTATAATGACTGTACCTTGTTCCATTCCTTAGCTGATCAGAAGATCTGAATGTTCCACTTGAAGTGATGGTCACTAAATTTCAATGAGGTAATTTTTATTCCTTTGCAATGACTGCTTAAAGATTCCATTGTTTGGTCCTAGTTTTAGGTGCCTATGTTTATTACACAGAACCCTGAAGAAGTCAATCCTACTAGTTCCCTTGTAACAAATTCAAAAGCAGTACACATACAATAAAAACTGAGGAGAGAAACTACTTAGGCAATTCAGCAAGAAAAAAAGCTGGCGGATAAATAAAGGTAGTTACATTGAACAATGGCAAAAAACCACAATGATAGAGAAGAGTAAAATAATCCTAAGAGTTTTTTGAAATGTCTAATGTCTATCCAGATAAAATTGAATACCCAGCTAAAATGTTTTTTTTTTTCCTGGTAATATATAATCTCCCAAAATTTTTATCAGAAGAGATAACATACAAAATACAATGGTATTTACCTCAGGCATGCAAGGATGGGTGAATATCACAGGTCTGGATCTGTCTGGAGCAGTTGTAACAGGACTGTGATTCCAGTCCTTGCCCTGACTTGAGTTGTTGTTGACCTGAACACATCAGTTAACCCATCCCCCACCAGGTATTTAACTCCATAGACATAAAATAGGACTTCCATTTTTGGTGGGCATGTAAGGAGATTAAAAGTTGCCACTCGATCCTAACAACAATTAAATAGCGGAAAAGCGAAAAATCAACAACTCTTTTTAGATCTCGTAGAGAAATGAGGTCACAGGGCAAACCACTGCCCCCAAGATTGGAGAGACAGGCAAATACAGAGAATCATAATTTTGGGGGAAAGAAACATGTGCAGAAACCTGTACAAGAGTAGGAAATCCTGAACTGCAATTGATGAATTACTGGCAGCTCAGTGTGGAAAGTCTAAGAACTAAAAACTCCTGGGAAACGGGACATAGTGGGACCCCCACACTTTTGTTTTACCTTTAGGAATTCAACCTAGTTCTTGCAGAAAATGTTGGAGAAAAATCCCTTTGTGCTTCTGGCAGAGAGAGGGGAAATGGAACCATTTTTTAAAATACTAGAGCATTCTGTTCTTAAAAACACCACTCTCTAGAGAAACTGTTTTACAAGGATCTAAATTATTGGGGTTGGACCAAATCCTAACTGATCTAGGGGAAGTGAGATACTCAACTCCAGCCCCTCTGCATCAATGAAGGTATAAAAAAAAATCTCAAAGTTATTTGTGAAGTTCAGTTACTAAAAGAGTGAGAACTACTCATAGGACTATAGAACACGTCCCTTCTTACCACCATTTTAGTGAAGGCCTACTCATAGTTGTTCTTCTACCCACTCTATCACGTCTGCCTTACAATGGAAAATGACAAAGCCTAATAAAAGGTAAAAAAATACAGTTTGAAGAGACACAGCAAGCAACAGAACCAAAACCAAATATGGCAGGGCGGCTAAAACAATTTGATTGTGAATTTAAAACTGTGATTAATATTCTAAGGTTTCTAATGGAAAAAACAAGCCATATATAAGAACAGACACGTAATCTAAGCAGAGATAGAAAACCTAAGAAAGAATCAAGAGATGCTAGAGATTAAAGTAGAGGTGAAAATCATCACCTTATTTAATTTCTTAATTTTTCAAAGAAATAAATGAGATAATGGACTTATTTAAAGAGAAGAAGTACTAGACAGCACAATCAAAAACCAAAGGAGTTTACTGCATAAAGAGAGAATGATGATCGTCAGATTGTGTACAGTAATACTAGTGTTCAGAATGAAAAGATGACTTGCTTGGTCTATAAAAATAGCAATTCTGTTTCTGAAGACAGCACTGCATTATACCTAGATGACCATGACACATGTAGAAATGCCCCATGCCCTCTCCTTTTAACTAGGACAGGCCTCACAGCAGAAACTCAAGTGAGCAGTCTTGATTCTCATATTGGGGTAGAATGTCTTTCCTCTCAATACCTTTATACTTAAGCGTATAGGAGAAAATTTTAATAGGGCAGCCTCGCCTTTCTTCCCACTCTGTATCTGGTTAGATGTACCATGGAAATAAATGAACAGTTGTCGAATACATAGTGCATACCAACTATTGTCCTAACTTAATCGTCAGAACAACATACAAGGGAGATATAATTCTCTTCTCCATTTTGCATTTGAGAAAATCGAGACTCGGTAGCCTGCACAAGATCCCTCAATTGGTAAAAAAAGTAATGGTGCCAGTGTACTTAAAAAGACAGGTTGTTTTAAACTCTTTGCACTGCCCCCAAACTACCTTGTCCCAGGGTGGAGGTGGTTTGGCCTTTCTAGGATAGCTGGAATACATTCCCCAAGGAAGTTTTTCTAGAGGGCTTTCTTGGCTCCTACCACAATTCCAACCTCACAGTGTCCAGAGGATATTCAAAGGCCAAGGAAGTCAAGGGACCACAGGCCATGCCCTCTTTCTTGCCCTCTAGCCTTAGTCCACTTTCCCCTTCTGGAACAATTTTAACAGTCTTTCACCCTGCTGTAAATGCAATTTGATCTACTAAATGACCACATTTTATAAACCAACAGCATAACTCACAGAACACCTGAAATACCAACTCTACACAGATAGGAGTGAGAATTAGCAGATCCAAGGCAAAAATCCATACATTTTCTGTTTTATTTTGTTCTGTTTTATTCTGGGTGGCTGCCACCCTCTTTTCACCAGGGAACTAGCTTCCTGGGTAACCGTGACACCACAAAAGCAACTTCACAACAATTTACACTAGGCATTGATGACACCAGAAAAACGACATTCCTTCTTCTAAAACATACTGACAAAGGAACAGGAGCTCAGGGAAAGGAGGAAGAAAAAAAAGCCCCAGTTCTGAAGCCAGTGCACAACAGAGCAACCCAGGAAGGGAGGGGAATATTATAATGGAAAGTCAAAAACACTTGTAAAAGCTGTCTGGAAGCTGCATGGAATGACTTGAAAGGGTCATGAGGAGGCCCTGCAAAGATGGGGCCTGACAAGTCCCCATCAGGCACCACTCCAGCTGGGAGCCACCCTGACAGAGGCTGCGGGGAGAGGATACCAACTTTGGGCATCTGCAGAAGTAAGGGTGTTTCATCTGTTTCCCCTCCCCACCCCAACTCAGTCTTCATAGGGACTCAATCCACTGTAGTTTTTATTGCTGGTTTTATTGTGGCAATTGGAAAGAATGAGGCATTGTCTAGCTGGGTGGAGTCCATTAGGGACCGATAAAGAAGAGGATTAATTCATTGTCACAGTCTTAGCAGTATTTCCAGACAAAGGAAGACTTGGCATTGCCCTCCCCCCACCATCCAGCTTCACAGCCAGAGTCACTTGTTCAGGCCATAGCAGTGCTCCCCCGCTAGCACCCGTTGCAGCCTGTCAGTGTGATGCTATGATATCACACAGGGTATTTAACTAGGGGAGCCCCAGGTGCAGCTGAGGGATTCCAAACTCTAATCATCAATCTGCATGTTAATCCAGTCTCTCCCAGAGTCAGCACCATGGAGCCTTCAGCAATAAATTCCTACAACATGGAAGGACCCCACATTTACTAAGGCCTTTCTTCTGCTAGCCATGACGAAAGTAGGTCTTTCAAGGGGCTTCTCTGGCTTAACACAGAAGAAGCCATGTTGATGTGAGCAGGTGTTGTGGCCCAGCATCCTTCTTGGCCTAAGAGGATAAAAAAACAGAACAACCCCCCCCCCCAACTTCAAGCCCAAACAGGAAAAAGAATCCCTAGAATACATTCACACTGCCCTGACTGTTTGAGTAGACTTAATACAACTGGGCAGCCTGTTCACAGAGCTCACTCCCATGCACACATGTACACCTGCTGCTGAAGCTTTAGGACTTACTTTTTGCAAAGAGCTGGGAGATGGTTTTTCTGGTATCTTCTGACCCCTCGTATTCCTTCTCTGCAAGCTGCTTGTTGGCAGTCTCTAGACGCTCTGTGGAATTTGGAGACAATCAACAGGGCCTCAATACAAACTCCCAAGCACATGCTGTTTGCCGTCTAAACACAGATCTTGGGCAAAACAAGCCTGTTTGTTCTTGTTACACAAGAATGGATGACATGGAGAGGGGTTTGCAAATGTGAAGTCCCACAACAATACTACCTGGTAGTGAAGGAATGAGTTCACCCATCACTGCAAAATCTAGGTACAGAATTCTCAATTTCAATAAAGGAATCTGTCCCTGAATGTATATATATAAATTTATCTTTCATTTGCTATGGAAAAAGAGCATCAAAGTTATTATAAAGCCTTTAAAATCATGGGTAGCATCTATTTAAGTTTCCTCCTTTTATAGATAGAATAGTCTAACCCCAAAGACAGAAAAACGAATCGTCAATGTCATCAGTTTTGAAGGTGTTAAAGATGTTACTTGTCGCCATCTTCAACATTATCATGTTAAAATAAAAATATAAGGAGGGAGTCCTAGGAACAATGGAGCTTGCACAGCCCAGACACAGGCCTCTGCAAAGCCAATAAAGGAAAAGAGGCAGCAAGGATTGCAGGGGCAGACCTGGCGGGTCCCAGATTCCCGGGAGGATACTGACTGATCAAGGCATCAGCCCATCCCGGCTTCGAGTCTACATGTTTGGGACCAAGTACTACTATAGGCACAGAACAGATGCCCTGCAATTTGCTGACCATACTAGTGGACTGGGCAGGCTTCGGAGCTTTACTGTCTGCTCCTCAGCCCCTTCCTAAGCCATGCTGGCTGATGTCTCAGAAGGAACATCAGAGGTGATTCCCTCACCTCTGAGATCCCTGTTGAAATCATGCATCCTGCGAATCTCGCCTTCAAGCTTGTTTCTCATGGCTTTCTCCAGGGCCTCTCTTTTGGACGATGACTTCACAAGGTTCTCGTACGCCTCCGAGACACGCTGGATTTCTGTCTCCACCTGAATTAAAAAAGGAAAAAAAAGGAAGACAATGGCAATGAGACGAGCTAGACTGGAAAGATGATTGGATTGGAAACCATAAATACAAATCCTTACTGACAGTTCTCCTGGGGCTTTACAGGTGGCCAGGAGGCAAGCACACCAGACAGGTGAGAAATGTTCCCGAAGGATTTCTAAGTTTCACCTTAAATTCAAAGAATCTCAAGCTTAAGCTCAATAATTCATGGGGTCATGAGCTTTCCTCAGATTAAAAAAATTACAGATTCTACTTTCAGAGAAAGTGGTAAAAAAGAATAAAAGTCATAAATACAATTATTAATGATTTCCATTTATGAATAAGAATTTTCTTAATTTTGAAACTATTAATATATATAGTACATGGCTAATGTTATTTCAAAGCATTCAAAGGGCTCTCACAGGTTTATTTCCATTCACCCTAATGATATCTGTCTACTCAAGAATCCCTCTCCCCATTGTAGCAGAAAGTTTACATTACCTTTTCTGAGATCAAGTCAGTGGCAGAGATGAAGCCTAGACTCGCTAAGTCTCTGCCTCATGTGGGAGTTCAGTTCAATTTAGCAAACATTTACTAAGGGCCCCCTATTTACAAGAACTCTTTAAAAGTACTGTGGGGAATATAAACATGAAAACACATTATTGCTGCCCTCAAGGAGATTGCAATCTAATCAAGTAAAAGAATATAGGGAAAGATACATTACTCTGAAAAGTATGAGTAGTGCTATCAAGTGTAGGGGAGGAAGAAGTTATTTCTGGTTGGGGGTGAGGGGAGCAGGGAACAATTTCAGGGAGGAGGTTGCATTTACAGTCAGATCCTGATCGCTGGGTCAGATTTCAATGAGCAGAGGTGAGGGGAAGGGTGTTCTATTCTGAGTGAGCTAATGCATTCCCAGAATGACCAGTAGTCTGGCTTGGCTGGACACTGTGGGGTACACAGAGGGAAGCTGGTACGACCTGGCTGCAAAGATAGACTGGAGTCAGATCATAAAAGGGCTATAATGCCAGGCATCTGAACTTCATCCCATAGTCAGAAGGAAACCAATATGGATTTTTGAACAGAATTCATGACCAGCGTAGTGTTTTATGACACTCCTGCAAATCTTGCAAAATGGGAAAAAGGAAAGGATAAAACCTCCAAGAGAAAGGGTCTTGCCCTTGTGTCGGCCCAAATCAGGAAGAAAACAAGAAATCAGACTCCAGAGTCTTTCTGCAACCAGTACAGCTTCCTTGTACATGTGATAATAGCAGAGATATTTGCATAAAATTTGTATAAGACAAATAAACCCCGTGGCTTATTAAGAAATGTTCACATTAAATTTGACTCCTCCAACCATTGTGTATTCCAGCTCAGTTTTCTACTCTTCTCTTTAACAAAGCTCGGGATATTTTATGGAGAGAAATACCAGGCCCCCAGTGGGAGACTGGGGGAAAGGTGCAGTTACCAAACAACTCGAATTCCACCTGGCCCCAGCTCCAAAATTATGCCTGAGGCAGGACTGCCTGCAAACAAATGAGGCTTACACCACAGAAAAGAGCAGACTCCAGGGTGTTTTTCTCCTTGCAGATGGCACCAAGATAGCAGCACAGAAGGTGAAAATTGGTGAATGGCATTTAAAGACAAGATCTGCAAGGCCTGAGCCTGATAAAGCTTTTGCATGAAATTCAAGTGCTGGATAGAGAAAATAAACATTTCCATTTGAAAAAGCAGGCTCGGTGTGGGTCTTCTCTGGCAGCCTTTCCAGGGCAAGGCTTTCCCTTGTCCACAGCAAGCCACACCTGGAAGGCAGTCCCTTTACTCAAGTTGTTCAGAGTACTGTTTCCAAATCCTGTCCCAAGCCTTTCCCCACTCCCGTGTACCCTCCAAAAGAGCAAGCCATACATCCATCAACAGGACCTTCCAGGAAAAGAAATCACAGGAGACCATATTGGCTGGTTTGCCTAAGTAATGGTGGGGGCAGGGGAAAGGGAGGGTGGCTGTGGGTTTCCAGACTTACTCTGACTATTCCCTCTCCAGCCTCACGCCTTCTCGAAGCTCCAGCACTTTTTTTTATTCTCCCCCACTTTCCTTTGCCACATCTCCCCCAGCTGTGCTTCAACTCTACTGGGTTGGCAGCACTGGGTTGGCGTTCAGTTCCCCCAACACTCAAGCTGTGCCACTTACACTTGTTTGAGGCGTCTTTCCCCATCCTGGGGAACAAACAACATGCACGTCCCATACTGCTCCTCCTCCCGTGACTCACCCTATCCTCAGAAAGAAAATTCACCATGATTCCCTTGGCAAAAAAAAGGCCTAGAAAAGATCTGGGTTCATCCTTCGGTTACTGCATGAAAGAGGGGGCCAGGGCCACCCTGAACGGAGACTTGGGGCAGAGGGGCCAATTGTTACAGGTAATCGGCCAAACCTAGTCTGTGTGCTTCTGGTGTGTATATTTCCTTCCTTGTACCTACATGCAGGGGGTGGGTCATTGAAGTTAAAATGAGAGGAAGGAGAAAATTAAGAATTGAGGGTAAAGCCAGGGAAAAACAGTTTGCACTGGACCCCAACAACTCCCATACAGATTTGGAAACATGGGGGGGGGTGGGAGGGAGATTTTTAGCTACATAAAAACACTTAGCCCTCCTCTCTCCTTTAGAACTAGGTCTGGTGTTTATAAATTCTCAGCTTCATTCAGGCCCCTGAAATTTCCACTCCCGGGTGTCTCCTAAGGACAGAGCTGCTGAACAATAAAAGGCAACCTCCCCTCCCTCCCCCACCTTCACCCTCACCTCCCTGAACAGTTCACATTGTAGGGAGATCAAACCACATGAGCTCCACAATGACAAAAGCTGCAAAGAGGCTGCCAAAGGCATAACCCTATTCACCAATAGCCACTGGAAGCCAAAAGCTAAGGTTCCTAGCTTAGGGCGCTAGAGAGCTAAAGTTCCAGCTGCAAGAGACAGGAGGGGCCCAGGGAAGAATGTGAACTCGGAACATACACTGGAACATACACTCCTTTTTCGAGTTCCTCAGCCTAGGGCTGTCACCTGTCACCCAGCTGTGGTGCTAAGCCCCTCCTGCCCCCCACACACACCAGAGAAAGAGAGCAGATGTTGAATTTCAGCTGCAGGGAAGGACCAAAGTTGAAAGGGGGAAAGGCCTGGATGTTAAAAAAGAGTTATTCTGAGAACTCCCACCAGGAAAGTACTCTAAGTCCTTTGCCGAACAAGGCAGGGTTGGGTAGATCTATCTTCAGTGGCGAGATTTTTCTAGCAACTGTGGCTATGTATTTACGATTCCAGTTCAGTATTGGGGAAAAGATACTCAAGAGAAAAATCTTAAAATGCTGGTAGTGGGCCTCTCTGGTGGCGCAAGGGGTAAAGTCCAAGCACTATGAAGCTATAGGCAGCCACTGCAGCACAAGATCGATCCCAGTCCAGGGAGCTGACCTACAAGGCGCAGACCTCTCCCGTCTCACCCGCTGGTCCTCTCAGGAGTGTATTTCAGTCAGTCTGCCTGTTCTGTTCCCCGCTCTATCTCTGGTGAATCCTCTCACCCTCGCACCTCTGGCCTGCACCCCAGCTCTTGTATTCATAAATACATAGAATAAATCTTTAAAAAAAAGAAGAAAATGCATCATCAAAAACGCATTTAAAAATAAAATGCTGGGCCTCCCCTAATGGCACAGGCAGTTGAGCTCAGCGCTGTGAAGCTGTCCACAGCCTCTGCAGCAGGAGTTTGCTCCCGGCCGGCCAGCGAGGGTCCCACATGGAGCGGCAGACCTCTCCTGTCTTGCCCGCTGCTCCCCCCAGCAGTGTATTTCGTCAGTCTGCCTGTTCCGTTCCCCACTCTGTCTCTGGTGAATCCTCTCCCCCTCCCGCGCATCTGGCCTGTACCCCGGTTCTTGTATAAATAAATAAATAAATCTTTAAAAAATAAATAAAATGCTGGTAGTTCTTCACCTACACAGACATCATCAGTGTTCTTGACCTTATGAAGAAGTGTTTCTGCCTTTGGGATGGTAAAACACTCAATTAAGTTTTCTTAATTGGGCCAGGGTGTCTGGGAAAAGCATATAAATGTTTTTTCCCTCCTCACATTAATGTAAATTGGTACTTCTGGAAAGACAGGCAGGAGGTTTTTTTCACAGTTCAACCTTCATATAGAAAAATCCCGAAAACCTGCCCATCAGTCATGCAGGCAATGACAGGTGGGAACTTTTACATGAATATTTAACAAAGAAGATTTAAAGGAGTCCCTACTGTCTCCCTATGGAGGTCTTACCTTCTGCAGTCTTGCCACCTTCTCGTAACACCCTTCCAACTCCTGCCGCAAGTTGCGGTTCTCATCTGAGAGGATCTCAACCATCTGCTGCGCTCTGGAGACAATGGCGAAGGGGTCTGCAGGCATGGGTGGGTAAGAAGCAGACTGCTGAGCCCGAGGCATCACTGAATAGGCTTCTCCCGGCTGCTGCGGCGGCGGCTGCTGCGGCGGCTGCTGCTGATGGTGATGGTGGTGGTGGTGCTGCTGCTGCTGGCTGAGGCCGGGCTGGGTGAGACGGTAGTGATCGCCCTGGTGAGCCTGACCGGGAAGGAAGTGCTGCTGCGGCCTGGGCAGGTGAGCTGAGTGGTCTCCTTGGTTTGGGACCAGGGCGTGTTGGGCAGGAGACAATCTAGTGGACGGTGGAGACTGCAACAAGGGCATGGAACCCCCAGAAGTGAGAGAAGGCGTAGGGCTGTGAGGCTGAGAATTCCTAGCCGACAGTGGCAAAGAGAGGTCTTGAGGTGGCCTGTAAAACAAGAAAGACATGCTCAGGTTAAGCCTTCTGGGTTGGCCCTGGGGGAGACGCAAACAAGAACTTGAGGAGATTTCTGGTGCCCCCAGGACACCCTCAAAATGAGGAGCAGGCAGGGCTACATTACAGGGTCTCTGACCTTCTGTGACGGCCCAACAGACAGAGGTGTGATCCCATGGGGAGCGAACCAGATGACCGCAAAGCTTGCCTTGTGAAAGTCGAAATGATCTATGCCTATTCACCGTTTGTTCAAGTCCGAGCATTATAACTGATTGTCCTACAAGATAATTTTCACCTTTTTATTTTAAACAGACTTTTTCTGACATCCTATATATGGTCCAGCATACAGAGTCAAATTTAGAAAATACATGCCATTTACCCAGAAGACAACCACAAACCACAATCAAAATCACCCCTCATCTTGCAATCTGCAATTCCCTTTGATAATTTATCTATTCATAAACATTACCTGAGGCTATGTACATGCTTATTACATTAGAGACAGCAAATAATTATTGTTGATTACAGTTATTAATAATTTAATGATGCCTATTAGTAGGAACGATACCAAGATTTGTAGAGAATAATAGGCAACAGTATCATACTTTATCTAATCTACCGAATCACAAAGTGGAAGGACTGAGAAGGCCTTAAGGAAATAATTTAGTCCAACTCTGTCACTGGACAGAGAGGGAAACCGGGTTCTGACCGGAGAAGTGAGTGCCAAATAATATAGAGCGAGTTAGAGCTAATGCGGGGGGAGGCCTTGTTTCCAGAGTCCCCTTTTCCGGGCTCCTTCCACCACCACAATGCATTGATTTCCATGCATCAATGTTCAGATTTCCAGCCTACCGCTTACAGAATGTCCCAGAAAGACAACTTTGGCACAATACTTAAAGCGGCTCTCCCATTTCTGTACCTAATACCAGACTATTAGTCGTTAAGGGAAATAACTAGAGCATAGGAATCAAATCGATTACTTCTACCATCATCACTACCAAAAGTATCAATCAGTGTACCCAGAAGACAAAAAGCATTTTCACCCCCAGCCCAAGCCCAACTAACCTCATATACTCCCACATCCTGGGGATGCTTGTAGTACAGTTGGTATTTCTCAATCCCGGGAAGACAGATGGCTAAGAGCATGAGATCTGCAGCCCAACAGAGTTTGGAGACCTTTTCTACTACTTACTAACTGTGTAACCTTGCTCAAATTACCTAATCTGCATGAGCTTGTTTCATTCCTGGGGTCAGAAAGGAATTACAAAAATACTGCGCGCTTCTCATTTTTGAGCTCAGTAGGAATTACAAACGTCCTCTTATCTACCTCCCAAAGAGATAGCTTGACCCTGTTAGTGACTTTAATTAGGGGCTATCCATTTAATATTTTCACTAAATTGTATAAAATTCATAGTGAAACTGGGGCAAATCACCAGGAGCAATTAGCTTTTAACTGGCATTACACATTCTTCCTACACACACTCCAGTTATCATTAGATTTCATTTATCTATCCCTATAAGAGAATCTCACGATTGAAGCTTTCTGTGGTTTCAAAATCATTCCAAACATTTGCTCATGGATACCAATAACCCAGATATTCCCCGGAGCCCTCAAACCTGCTTAAGCCTTAGATCTGTCTCTCGGCTCCATTGATTGTTCATCCCACAATCTCGCAATTTCATACACGTGTCACTATAAATAATTGCTGAATATTAATGAGGGCATGCGAACTGCTTGTGGAGAGAATTTACATAGTTCTCATGGTTAAACTGGAAAGTTTCTACCACACATAAACCTTTCCTTCCTAGAACTTAAAGCACTCATCCAATTAAGTCTGGGAGCTGTGTGTACAAACTTACTGAGAGTAGTCTTTCCCCATTTTCCATACTATGAATCTTCAGTTTCCTCAGAGGTAAAACTGACCATGTACCTTCCTCCTTTTTGAGTAAGAGTTATCATGATTTTTATATACCCCTGAAGTTAAAATATACTGCCCTGGGATCTGCTGGGGCGTTTGGAGATCCATGGCAGGAAAAAAAGGACTTAAATTTCATGTTCTCCAAACCAATTTTTAAATTTTAAGGGGAAAAAATGACCATATTAACCATCTTCCTTTTGGCAGGATTTGGAAACCCAAAGATAGTCCTTTAAAGACTAAATACTCAGCTCTGGCCTGGGGTTCCTCCCCGTAGCCGGCCTCAGCCCCACCAGTGACCCAGGCATCTCTCCGAAACAGAGTTGGCCACTGGCCTTCCTCCCTGCCTGGGGACTGAGAGTCTCCTCCATGCCCCGGACAGCACACAGCCTCCCAAGGGCTTCCAGAAAGAGGAGACCCCGAGGTCACCAGAAGGACTCGGTTGGATCAGCCCAAGAGGGCAGTGGCCTTGGTCATCACTCTGGGCTCTGCCTAGAGGTAAATGGAGAATGACCACTGCCCGCCCCGGGTTTCCCAGGCTGGAAAAGGAACAGATTTCAATGCACCGCGACGTTGGGAAAACCAAGACCGTGTGTTCCTGGCAGGTTGGCAAACGCAAAGCAAGGCCTGAGCAGTTCGAAAAGGAGAGAAAGTCCTCCAGCCAATCAACTCCTCTGGGCTTCAGCATTCACTCACCAGAAGGAGAAAAGGGGGACAGTATTAATCCTGCATAGTTCCCGCTAAAAGAAGGGCGCTGAGGAATGACAAGGGTGGGGGACAAATGAGGGGCTGTCAGATAGGCAAAAATACACTCAAGGTTATAAATAACAATACAGTAAGAGTAATAATAAAGGTGGCAGCTGGCAGGGCAGCACAATCCCTAAGGCCTCCCACTGTACAGCAGCCGAAAAGCTGCCTACTCACACATTAGCAGGGAACAAGAAGCCTCCTGCAGACAATAGAATCACATGATCTCATGGAAACCCCGACCTGCCTCTTTGCCCCTTCCCTTCCTTCATCCTGCCCCTTCCTAAGACAAACTGGGCCCTGGGTACTCTGCAGAAAAGGGGACATGGCAGTCATGCGGGACAGAGGCCAACGACCAAAATCAGCATTCTCCCCCGCCCCCAAACCAGGCAACTCCAGCCAAGAGACAGCTTGTGTGGACACAAAGAGAAAGCAAAAGCCTGCCGTCCTTCGAGCTGACACAGCACCTTCCACGCAGCCACCTCACTGACTGGGAGACCCCGCCCTCCCCACCCACCCACACACTCCATCCTGTCCCATACGTGTGCAAGTCCACACACGCACACTCACCAGAGCAGGTGCCACCAAGAGCCTGGAATTCAACTTATTCTCCACACAGAAACTGTGCTTTTCCCAGGTTCTGAGATGGTGAATCTGAGTCCTGGAGAAGGCTGCAAATTCCTGATTGTTTCTCTTGCACAACCAGCTCTGCTCTGAGCTACAGAGTTAGGTCACCCTTAGATTCCACTAAACAAGGATTTCAAGAAACCTCAGATCTGGGCATGATTTCAACAATTGAAAGGAGGTGGCTGCTTTATAAACAGAAATGATTACATTTTTAAAAGCAGTTAATAAATGCATAAACCCAAGATGCAGAAAAGGCTCAACATTCAGAAAGACCAAGATTCACAACATTTTTAATTCTTCAGATGCCTTGGCCTTGCTTCCCATCTGGAGTTCTGAGCATTCAGGATATTTATTTTTTTTAATTGGAGAGGAGGGCATAGGGAAGATGATGTAATAAAAAGATTGTTTATACCATTTTGTTCATTTTAACAGCAACTCTCTAGCATTTCACTGTACCTTTAAAAGCAAACAGGTTTTTTTTTTTTATTTTGAAGAGCAATTTGTTCAAAGAGTTTGCTTTGCATCCTGATCTACAATTTATGGATTAAGAACTAAGAATTTAGTCTTCTGATTGTTTGATGCCAGCAGGAGTTAGTTGGAAAGGTACTCACAAACTGTCCACCTCGTTGGTTAAAGGAAATAAAGAAGGAAAAAAACATATCGCTACTTAAAAGCAGTATAATTCTGAAAAGCAGTTCAACTACCTCCCCTTGCCAGTAATTTGTCAATAAGTGCCACTCCCTCATTCAAGGGTCCAACAAAAAAATTATTGCCAGAATTTGATGCAGACCCAAACTTCACACAGTATCTTCTGATTAGTGTCATTTTGCTTATTCATTGAACACCAAGCACCCTGTTCCTCTCCTATAGAGGAAAAAAAAGCCCAAGCAAAACTGTTTGTTAAAATACTTCTCCAGGGGCCTCCCTGGTGGCGCAAGAAGTTAAGGCTCAGCACTGTGATGCTATCGGCAACAGAAGTTCAATCTCCGGCCAGGGAGGTGACGCACATGGCGCAGCAGACCTCTCCTGACTCGCCCGCTGCTCCCCTCAGCAGTGTATTTCAGTCAGTCTGCCTGTTCTGCTCCCCGCTCTGTCTCTGGTGAATCCTTTCACCCCCTGCACCTCTGGCCTACACCACAGCTCTTGTAGGCATAAATAAATAAAAATAAAAAATAAAATGCTGCTCGAGAGAGGGTAATCAGCACGGGCTCTACGTTCTGGAGAGAGAACGATCCACAGATTACTTAAGAGGAAGGAAAAAATGCAAATATCTTCTTGTAAAATATATGCAGCTAAATGTCTCTGATAGTGTAATCAGTATGGGAAGGAAAAAAATCCCTCTCTGGGCTCCTTATTATTTATTTAGGCAGATCAAAAGGCTTTTCCATCTAGCTTCAAACACTGTGGGAGTCATTTCAGATCACAAACAATACTGGTGAATGAGTTCTGAAAATAGCTTTCCTGGGAAGGCGGGCCATGTGCTGAGCGGGGCTTTGGATTCTGCTCCACACCCTAGCCGACACACTCCTCTCCCACAGGACAACAGACATTAGCCCATCCACATGTGGGAGGGAGTCCCTCAGACTCTTCCATACTGACGGAAAGAGGGAAAAAAAAAATTGCCAGCTTCATTGATATTTTGTTGGCTTGGACAGGTTTCCACTAAGCTAAGCAGTCCAAAAAACCAACCCCTCCCTGGGTCTTCCGTTTCAATGGGCAGATGGGAATCGGGTTCTTGCTCTCTTTTAAACCGGAAGGGCCCTGTCACCCCATTTCCTGTTCCAAGTCACTTATCAGAACTTAAGCAGCAGCCCTTTGAAAGCTGCTGAGTGGAGGTTGAAAAGGGTTAGGAAATCAACCTGAGTTGAGGAAAAAAGTCCTAAACTGGCAAAGTTAGGGGTGGAGCCCAAAGTGAATTGCCTCTGGCTGAAAAACAGGACCTGGGGTGGGGGTGGGGGGGGGATAAAATACCAGGAAATACCAGGTGTATTCTCTTACCTTCACCCTACTCCGCCCACAGACTGCCTTCTCTCCTGTGTCACCCAATGAACTTCAAACCAACAGGCTCTTTCCCAAATGAGTGAGACAGGGACAGGAGAGGAGGCACAGATTTGGATATCAAAGAGATCGTAAGTCTGGGCACCAATATGGAAAAAGACCAGCATAGGTCCAGGAATTTCAAACCTCTTTGCCATCCATAATTTCATAATTCCCCATGGTAATAGGACAGAAATATCACAGATAACTGCCATCATTATGACAGATGCTGAATTACTTCTTTTTTTTTTTAAGATTTATTTATTTATTTATACAAGCACTGGGTACAGTCAGAAGCGCACGAGGGCGAGAGAATTCACCAGAGCCAGAGCAGGAAGCAGAACAGGCAGAAGGACCGAAGTACACCGCTGAGGGGAGCAGCGGGCGCGGCAGGACAGGTCTGTGCACCATGTGGAACCCTCGCAGGTGGCCGGAGATGGAACCGGCACTACAGAGGCTGCGGGCAGCTTCACAGCCCAGCAATCAACCGCTGCACCACCAGGGGAGGCCCCAGATGCTGAAATACTTCTGAGCAGAGACTCGGCACAATAGTAACAACAGAACAAATACAATCACAGAATCCTAAGGCTGGTTAATACAGCAACAAGAGAATGAACACTGAATCACTAAGAAGTATAATTAAGAAGAAATGAATATATGGCACACTCCTCCTGAATTAATGGCAAGTGGTACAGAAATCACAGGAATACTTTTCATTCTGCATTTTAACATCTGGCCAAAACTTCGATATGATATGATATGATATGAATTTAACTTAGATGTTTAGAAAAATTATACAGGAAACTCACAAATTTTATATACAACAGAAAAATGAAGCAACCCAAACTCCATGAACTGCAAGAACATACAAGGCAAATAATGTTCTGACCCTCCACATACATACTTCCTCACCCCCCACCACCACACACACAATAGTAGCTGGGTATTTGTTCAGTGTCAGAAAGAATCACAGTATTTCTACAAAAATATTCATAGCAAAAATAAGTGATGGCAGTTGCATGGAAGGGAATAAATGGGTATGATAGGATGTTCCAGACTAAAGTCCAACATCATTTGCTTCTGCTCCTCAAGGAAGGTCTTAATACATAATAGAAGACGAACACTGACCCTTCACTATCCGAGGAGACAGGACAATGAATAGCTGCTAAAATCAAGACTTGTACTACTGTTGATCTACTAGATAGCTGAGGCCACGTTCAGCCAAAAAAGTCAAGGGAATGTTAACATGGTGCTAATTATGGCTGAAGAGGTTGGAAATTTAGGTTGGCGGGAAATTTACTAAGCCTGGGCCCAACCATGCATTTCAGAGTTTGTTATACCGAATGCCTACCCATTCCTTCCCTTAAGAGTCCCAACACAGCAGAAGCTGCCTGGGGATGAGGTCAGGAAATGACAGAAAGGGAACTCTCTTACCTGGCTGCTCCATACTCAGGGGGATGCTGATACCTCATCAGTTGCCCCTCTGTTCTCCCTGGCTGGTTCAGACGATGCTCACTATAGAAGAGCCCTGGCTCTTGGGGCTTGCACACTACAGACTGGGGTGGCATGCCCTTGAAGGGATACTCTGGTGGGGGGCCTCGGTGTTCCATGCCCTTCAGGCTATGCTGGCTGGGAGGTGGCCCTTGAGCCTTGTAGAATTCACTGGAATTCGTGGGATTCTTGTAGAGGTCATTGGGCTGTGGTGGGGAGAGGGGAGCGCTGGTAACCGGCGGATGCGCCTTAACCCCACTGGTGGCCAGTGACATCTGCATCAGGCGTTCACTCAAGGAGCGGACATGTCCTTGCTTAAGGTCTCTGAGTCCTTCGTCCTGGTGCATCTTCCCAGGATTAAGGCGCTGAACTGATGGGCGTCCCTCAGTTCTCATCTTCTGGTTGGTGACTCCCGTAACGTAGAAGGCAGCTCCAACACTGGCATGCTGTTGTCCCCGGAAGTACTGGGACTGGACCTTGGCTTCTTCATAGGTTGGGAGTTCTTCATTGTTCTGCATCCGAGGAGAAAGCTGCTTCTCCATGATGATGTTTTCTGACTGGATTTCCTGCCCCTGGGGTTCTTGCCGAGCAGCATGAGCCACAAGCTGTTGGTGGTGGTCTTGGGGACTCAGCACATCACTCTGAGGGCCCGGGTTCCCACTGCCACTGGGAAAAGGTGGGCCGTTCCCTGTGGCTTGCTGGTGTATGGCAAGCAGGTTGCGATTCTCACTGGGATTGCCATAGCGAAGCTGCTCTTGTAGCAGACGCTGCAATACCGTGGTTCCTCCACTTGGCTGTTCTTCAGAATTTCTCATCTCTATTGCTGGCGGTGCCTTGTGAAGAGAGAGAGAAATTGGGCACCTGGGCTGCCCTTGACCTGGGGAGGGGAAACAGGAATCTTAACACCCAGTTGATGGATTAATCAGTCCCCTAAAGGGGGAGAAAAATGGATATTTGGGGGCGAGGATTCCATTGCAGAGAAGAAGTAGAGAATTGACTCAAGAATTGATAGATTCATTGTTGGAAACTCCTGGGTCTAACACTGATATGATGAGAAATTTGTAAGCATAAAAGCTATTTCCTCTTTCACTTTTTAGCATGAATTTAATAGTCAATCTTGACTTAACTCCTAAGAGGAATGGGGAAAATCAGGAGCAGTCATTCAGAATGACCAGAGAGAGGAATTTTCCTAGGTCCTTACTTACAAGAGTCACCTCTCTATATTCAATTTAAATGAAAAATCCAAATGTGGCAGTAGGGGCAGGATAGTACGGAGAAGTTACCCCATAGACAATATCTGTAAAGCAGTGCAGTATGTGAAGGAAGCTAAAAATTCCAAATAATAACTAAAATAAATAAAAGGTAAACAGAGCTTGACTTGCATCAGATAGAAATGATCCCTGCTTGACACCACTCGTTTTCTCTGCTCTCATAAAACTCTGAAATAGATTTTCTTAAAAATCCTTTTTGTATTGTCCATTTGGGATGCTCCTTGGCTTAATAAATGAAGGGCTTGGGATAATTGTTACTGACAAAGTTTCTCTTTCAGTCATCCAGGAATAGCTATGGAGATTTTTGTTGTTGTTGGATGGAAGTTTAAAGGGGAAGCATTCTTTCATTCTACGTGTGCCTCTGATAACATTTAGAAATTGAAAAATAAAAAGGTTCTCCTTGAAGAAAGGGTGTGATATCAATAACCCCCTCATCACCACCACCACTTCTTAAGTAATATGGGTTGAGTGAAACAGGTATCAACAGTAAGACAACTCAAGATTCAAATTCTGTGCTACAGATTTACAGGGTAACCTAAACAGTTGATTCCTCTTCCCTTGACTTCTGTTCTCCTGTCTGAAAATTAGACGTGATGTCTCTCTCATTAGAGCTCATAATTCATTTGGGCCAGAATCTGTCATGTTGAGTGCTGCAATTCATTACTGAGATTCAGTAATGAAACTTTCACTCTAAAGATCTTAAGTCATGTTAGAGGATAGACATTATGCTACACAAATCACAATAAAGGTCAACCTCACCAGCCTCGGGTTCCTGGGTGAGAACTCTGCAGTCCCAGCTCCCAGGCCCTGATTTCTATATTAGAAAGTATCCTTCAATCTGTGGAAACACGATCCCTTTTCCTTTTAGTTTTGCAGGGGGGTGACCCCGGAGATGTATATGGTAGATGGAGAAAGGTCATCTTTTCTCTTTCCACACTTCTCACATGGTTACTGCTACCTGATTGCCAGTTGTTCTACTGAGCATTTTGACTCCAGAGTTAACCTTCCAAAGGCTCTTTTTAAACCCCTTTCATATTCTCTAGGGGCGTGCATACCATAAGGCTGAGCAATCAGCCCTCTGGACCCCTTTCCCATTGCCTCCCTCCTCCCGGTGACCCTTTTGTGAAAGGCTGACAAGTATAACACAATCTCTTTTGGTGCCTGAAACTGGAAAGATGACTAGCCAGCTGCTTTTCCTCTCTCAAAAACGTAATACAGGAGCATGTATGTTAAAGCAAAATCACTTAGAAACCCTTCCTGCAAAGCAAGGAATTTCAGAGACAGAGCTGCCCCAGACCCTGAAGAGTATACCACCCCCTCCCATTCCACACCCACCCACCCAGCGTGAACACACCCTTACACATGGGTATGTGCACGCACACAGACTCACACACACACGCACACGCACACGCACACACACACACTGATGGTCCATACCTATTTCTGCTTTCTTTTAGGCTTAAAGCCTTGATCAGGATAGGGAATTCTTGCTTATGAGCAGCTCCAGAAACCGCAACGGCAGATTCCTCTCCCCTAACACTCAGGTTCAGGGTAAGCGCCGCCAAGAGTCCAAGCACTGGTCACTCTGAAATGTTCGGGATGGGGAGGGAAAAGAAATAAAAACGTCGTTTCTATTTTGCCACCAATGGCCAACAGTTAAGCAAACCAGTCCCTCCAAGGGAATGATTTGTCCTCCCATGTGCTTGCCTTTGTATGTGTGGCAGAATCGTTTCGTTTTTACCAGGGCAGAAGGAAACCTCACAGGCCAGCAGCTGTGTTCAGGAGGTCCCCAGTGTCCCAGGGATGGAAATGTTCAGGTCTGAGACAGGAACAGATTGCCCTGCTCTGGCCACACAGCCCTAAAATGCCACTGCTTCCATTCTGAGTTGAAGTGGTAAGTGATGACACAAGTCATAACCACTGTCACCATTAGGGTGCGACCTTTAAACTGCCTTCAGCAGTGGAGCAGGTTAGTAAGGCTCACAGCCTTACACCCCAGAAGGGAAGGCAACACCAGGAGGTAGGTTTAGGGTCATAAAAAGTGCTCAGTGAAGTTCCCACTTTAACTGCCCCAACTTCAGATGGGTAGAAGCAAAGCAAAATGTCATTTCAACCAAGTGAGTAAGGATTCATTGCATCCCGACTATTCCAGTCACTTGCCAGCCTCATACTAGAGACAATGTGGGATACAAAAGACAAACGACATGGAGTTCCTGCCCTCACAGAGCTTACAATCTGATTGACTGCCAGTCTCACTGGAGTAACAATGGTGACGTCCCATCTAAATACACAGCAGCACCTGTTCTGCAAAGAGAAGATGCCACCACTTGTTTTCTTAGCACTGCCACTGCCCTAGTATGTCAGCAAATGGAAACTACTAGACTCCATTATAGATTAGATGCAAATGCCTACTACAGAGGGACTTGAGATAGTCCTCATTTCTAACTTTTTCTTGACACTTGGAAAAACCCCATAGGTCCAATCAAAATGTTATAAAAGTGAGGAGTTGGTGGTCACAAGATCCACATTCATATTTTCTATCCCGGCCTAGCCATGCCTCATTCCTATCACTTAAAGGAAAGGCTTTAATCCACACCAGAGACGCCATTTGAGGAGGAAGGCAATGCAAAGGAAGCACACAAGCGTCTCTGTATTTTGGGAGCAGGTCCAAAACATTTGTGTTTTTAAAAAAAATCCACCAAACCGCACAGTGATTAATTTAACATTATTTCCTTGCAATGTTGCCAAAAATAAAGTGAACAGATATAGAGTGAACAAACAAGGAAATTTGTCTTTCCATCTTATTTCGGCCCAACACATAATCACAATCAAAAGAAAAATCATCTTCCATCTGCAAGGTAATTATTTTAGGGTTTCTCCCCCAATTTCAAAGCAGAGGAACAGCTGCTAATTGGAATCAAATCTGGACTGTTAATACAGCTGCTATGGTAAATAACCACCGCACTTCTATTGTCCAATACCATACAAAACAGTTGTCTTTTTTTTTTTCAACTGAAACACACAAAAAAACAGCCCCAGGCTTTTAAACTTGAGTCCCTGGCAAGAAATCACCATACAATTCTTTTCCAGTACTATTTAGATTCTTCATGCTGATTTTGACTGGCTTGAGCCTCACACCCAGCTCCTGACCAAGAAAACTTTACTTGTCCAAAGTCTTACTCTCTTCCCTTAATTTGGTCCTCGCTCTACCATATCCTTTTCAAAACCCAAATCACTTTTGTCAACCGGACACAGATCCTCCCTCCCCACCACCCCACCCGCTGGCCTTTTTTTGCTTCTGTTTAAAAGAGGAAAAGAAGTCAGCCTAAGAAAAAAAGCTTTGGTATTCCTCTCCAGTTTACTGTTTTTTTTTTTTTTCTTAAAGAACTTATGCTCAGCTACATGTCAAGAGTCGAATAAGGAGGAAAACACTACTCCATTTATTCGAGAAAGGAAAGGAAAAGATTCTTGTCTCGTGTACAAGAACTAAAATGGTATGAACTCTGCAACCTTTAATCTGCCCACAGCTTTAATCACGCCACTGCCAGGGGTCTGACATCATCTTCAATCAATAAAATAACCTCGTTTCTCCTGGGCTGACCTAAGGATACTTAATAGGGGAAGAAAAGATATCTGTGGTTCACTCTTTTAAAATGCAAATTGAATCTATATGTTTAACTCTCCAATAACAACAACAGGGCAGCAAGGCTAAGCCAAATTCTTACTCCATTTGCTGTCACTGGGCTCTCCCAGTATACACCTGGGAGTTTGATCCAAAACACTTTAGAGAGACCCCAGATGTTTCCAAAGCCAAGTCCAACAAAATCAAGATTGCAAGGTGGCCAGGGCAGACAGAAAGCCCATCTTCAAATACATGCTGAAATACGCTTATAAGATCTTCTTACTATCCCTTCAACATCATCCTCCCTTTCTGCCCCCACCCCTCACTCCACCAACCAGAATAAAGAATCTAATTCTAGGAAACCTGTTCCTCTGCTAAATCTTGGTCAACTTGTTTCATATGATTTTACTTCCAGCTATATGGAAAAGAGCCAGTTTAGAGTTTTCCCTATATCTACAGGCACATATTTGTGCATTAAATACACACATACACACACACACACACACACACACACACACAAAGAGATAGGCAAAATGACCCACTGAATTCACCCATGTCTCTAGATTGTTCCATATTGTGACCTGACATGTCCTAGAGAATACCTTTCCCAATAGTCTTGCACCCCAGAATATTAATTCACTTCCTTGGTCAGAAACAGTGGTTGCTTTGCAGGTCATCCCTGAACTGTGAACAGGCAATGAGCAGGCGGTAGAAGTACCAGGGTCAAGTGCTACAGCCTAGAAGTCACACTGGCCCCCAAGTTCAAATCCTGGATCAACTGCTTACTAACTGACCTCACACATGTCAACAATCCTTAACCTCCCCAATCTCAATTTCATCATGTGCAAATTAGAGATAAAGGTTCTCCTACTTTACAGGGCTGTTATAAAGACTAAGGAGGTGAGCCATGTAAAGTGCTAAGCACAGAAACTGGCACATAGCAAACACTCAAAAAAAAAGTTAGTTGTAATTTTTTATTGATATTTCAAAGGGGCCTTTTTCTAGAAGGCTGTAGCAATTTTACGTAGGTTGAGTTTTTTAAAATCTTTATTTTCAACTCAGCATTGTACAGGGGACTTTGTATCAGCAAAGGTCAAAACTGGAAGGACTCTTCTGATACCATCTAGTTTCCAATCCCATCTTCCTACCCTTGAATATGCCAGGGCTGACAAATGGTCAGAGTCAGGACCAGAATGTAGGTTTTATTACTGCTAGGGCAACAGACCTTCTACTACAACACCTTATTTAGCATCATTATATTGTACATACGAGATGCTTAAAATATTTACTAAGTCGCATTGACTGGTTTTCGAAGACCTTAAAACCTGGCTTAAGGCAACCGCCCATTTTTCAACCATTGGAGGTAAAATTGTTAATGTCAGGAGGGAAAATTCAAGGAAGTAAGAGGTACATGGTTAAGCCGGAAGTATGACTGAAGGATCTCACAAAATCTCTCCTACTTAGGCCAAGACATGCAGGTGAATTGGAAAGTAACATGAACCTCCACCGATCAATGTTTCCAGGCCCCTGTTCTAGGTCTTGTCAACATCATATCAACTTGGCATTTGCTGTTACTCAAGTCTAACACTAGCTTAAGAAAAGGTTTTGAGTTGGCCCCACCTCTTTGCTTCTATCTCTATCTTTATCTAGATTAGATTACAAAATTATTTTAAGACCCATGGTAAGGCTTTGGCATTTCTAAATCTTACTGTGGATCAGGGTCAGTTTTCTGCTTCTGAGATGGTAAGTGAAAGGTATGGTCATTTTTGATCCTAGTTTTACTTCATTGCACTCCACAGCAATGAATGTGCCCATGTTTACAAGGCCACAGAGATGATTAACCCTAAAGGGCACAGGCCATTGAAATATTGGGTAATGAGAATCCTGTTGCCACCACCCCTCCACATCCCTCCACACACACCCACTCCAAGAGAATAGATCACATTATCACAGTCTCTTTCATCTTGCCTCAGAAAAAGAATAAGCGGTCCATGAAATGAGATTGAGAATAAACTGGTAAGCTTAAGAATATATCTAGAAATTGACTGTTTTGCCAATCACCTACCTCTGGTGGACTACTGCCCACATTGATTTTCATTTTTACTTTAATTTACAAGAAATACAAGCACAACTTGCAAATATTTATGAGACCAAAAAAAAAAAATCACCCATAATCTCAGGACTTCAAATCAAACATTTTTAGCATTATAGAATACTTCCTTTAGTATGTTGTACATTTGTGTTTATACAAAGCAATGAAATAGCGTACATATAATTCTGGATCCTACTTTTCATATTATCATAAGTACTTTCTCCATGTTGCAGTACAGACTTCATAACAAACATTATAATAACGGTATAGTAGTCCATTAAATGCGTGTGTTAAGATTCACTTACCCATTCTCCAATTATTAAGACATTTAAATCGCTTCCAATTTTTTGCTACTTAAATGCTACAAAAACATCTTTGTGATTTAGCCTTTTTCAATATTTTGGACTGTTTCCTAATGATAGAATCCCAGAAGTGAAATTAATAGGTCAAGCAGCATGAATGTTTTTAGACAACCCACTAAAAAATAAAACTAGCAACACCAAAGCACCATGAAACCGCTCCCTCATTTAATGAAACGTTCTTCTGCTCCCATTTTTCCACCAGGGCAGAGCAGGACTTCTGGGAGGGAAAAAAGCCAAGAGAAGCAGTGTAGTATCCCAGTGGCTTGCGAAATGGCAGAGTGGAATGTGGGCTCCCCTGTGAATCCAGCTTGCATGCACTTGCCCCAAATTGCCACCCGGCCAAGAGGCTAATTAGTAAAAGCATCAGGTGGGTGAGAACAGGTTCATGGCCTGTAATGGCTTATATCATGTTTCATTTTTGCCCTTGGAACAATCTGACAGTCAGCTTAAAGACATTCAGTTCTAGTGACCCTGCTGCATTCTGAAAATTAAATTTGTTAGCTTCAGGAGACCATCCTTCAGTATATTTTGAAGGGCATTTTGCTATAGAGAACTAAGCATATATGACCAGTGAGCCTGTATGTGTACCTCTAGTTTTCAGCCATGGTTAAAGTGGCACATGATAGGGCAGCCCTGTTAATATTATATGACTAAATGGCACCTGTCTTAAATGGCCAATACGCCAATAGACACAGTTTTATTTACAGACTCAACCATAAAACTCATCCAGCTCTGAGGCTGGGGAAGCAATAAGCCAGGAAGCCCCTAGCCTAGCACAAGTAGACATAATAGGCATCTCTCCCTGGGCTTCTTAGGTAAAAATCTCAGAAGAGGGCAGTTCTGCTTTCCACTTCTGCCCTTGAAGTTTTTCCCCTGATTCTTCTGCATCTTTCTCCATGCTCCAAATATTCTCAGTATGGAAAATTCACCCTCTATTGTCATTGTCCCTAATGGATTTTGTACACATGTCTATTACAGCACTTAGCACACCATATTTTCCATAATTATTTATTGGGCACTTACTATAGCCAGGCACTGAATAGGCTGGGGGGGAGGGGATAGTAAAAGGGAAATAAAACAGAATCCAGTCCTCCAGGAGTTCCCAGTCAAGCAGAGGGGACACAATCCAACAGGAAACCAGAGGTGTGAACAGACAGCTCTGGCAATGCAGAGGACTCTGCAAAAAAAAAAAAAAAAAAAAAAAATACTCTGGGCCACTTAAGCAAAGCTTCCCAGAGGAAAAGACCTATGAGCCGGTTAAGAGACATGGAATCTGATATCCAACTGATATTAGGGAAGTGGGAAAAGGAGGAATCAAAGATAGACTGAGCTGTACCTTTCTTGGGGAGTCACTAACATAAGGACAGCTAAGGTCAGAATGGGTTGGCTCCTATAAGAATATGTAGAGCAAAGGACCAAGAATGATACTAAGATTGGACTCCTGAAAAAGGTGATCACTCGAGCAGCGGGTACTTCACAAATGTGAGAGAGAAAATTCCTTTATTTACCCTGTGGCTTTTCCCCACATGTACCTTTAATCTAGACTTTGTAATACACTGCTCCAGGGACAGAAGCCCCCAGTTGCAATGCAGAGAGGTAAAAATAAAGGTCAATTCTTGTTTTTCAAGCCTCTAAGTAACCAGGCAGAAATTTCAGGAATGAATTCCAGAGATGGAAATTGCTAAAATATGAGATCTTTGAGAACATGAGCTGGGTACATGATTTTTCACTGTACCTTTCCCTACACCTGAACCACTAACTGGTAGATAAAATATGCTTAATAACTGCATACTGAATAAATAACAACTTCCCAAAGACTTTGCTAGAGGCCACAGAAAAAGAAGGAAGGGAATGAAAGACAGAATAGCAATAATAGTAATATCATTACCTTTAGTGTCTAAGTCTTCTAAGCAGACAAAAGCTCTTTCACTTCTGTTATCTTATTTGTCCTTCTCAGCAGCTCTGTGAGGAAATAAAGGCAGATGTGATTAATTCCATTTTACAACTGGAGACGCTCAAGTCCAGGACAGATAGCTAACGATAACTAATTCAGCCAAGGTTTTCGCTATGGCTCACTGATGGGGCCAGGATCAGAACCCAGGTCTTGTGACTTCCTGCCCTGTACTCTGTTGCCAGAAACTAACCTCTACAGAACTGACTCTCCAGCTGTTTGTTTGTTTTTTTCTTAAAGAAGACAATGCACAAGAGAAATACATTAGGAAAGCAAAGTCCCTCTGCATGCCAAAATACTCTTGAATATGTGAGTGTGTTGCACCTTTAAGGAAACGTCTGAGCCCCTTCTCCATACCAACACTGGAAGGGCTAAATGTAATTCACAGTGGGGCTCTACTAACGTAACTGGGTGCTCCCGGTTTTGCTGTACCCCTTTGGAAGGGAACCCCATCTGCCTTCAGTCTGGTTTTGTGTCTGAGTGGGGCTCAGGTGCAGACTGCAGGTGTGGCATTCAGCAGGTGCATGGACAGGAGCCAGCGTTTCATATCTTCATACCAAAGGGCCTGAGTCACTCCCCAAAGGCAGCCCCTCCTCCTCCTGCCTACTTGCAAGCCCCAAGAACCTGTCTTGACAGAGTTGCCTTTGCAAAACTTAAACTAGACCCGGTCTTCCCAGGAAGGGTTAGAGTGAAATCAGTTAAACTGCAAATCCTATAACCCAGCCAAATTTCCCACACTTAGAAATGAATGCACCCCAGGCATAGTGTCAGGGAATGTATGTGCAGAATGACTGTTCCCTGCACATTATGGGGGAAAGGTGGAGCACCACACAGCCATATTGCATATGTAGCCAGAGAGCACCTACCCTAGGGCAAACGGCCCTGAAACCTCATGAACAAGTATTCATTCCCTTAAAATAGATGAAATAAGAAAGAATGTGCTAGAATCCTGCACTGGGGTTCCCGTCATAACCCCTCTTTCAGGCTGCTAAGGAGAAATATTTAATCCAGTCTTGAGAAATACTTAATCTACAAAAAGCACCAGGTAAGAAATGTCATTACATTGCCCTAATGGAAGGCTTACTGAGAGCCTGAGGCCGACGGAATGTTCTCGAGGGTAAAGGGTCATGAAAATTTTCTTAGCTCCAAAAATTGTTGGCTTTTACCAAAACAATTTGCCTACCCAAACACACACACACACACACACACACACACTCACATACACACACACCCCAAAAAGAAACTAATTGTAGAAGAAAAAAAAAACCCAAATGTTACCTTAATAAAATGGTTTATTGTCATTCATTGTGCTTCTCCAATTCATATGGGAAAGCCAAATTAATAAGCTTTTGTTTACAGTCCACAATCCAGAAAGTAAAACTGGCTACTAAACTAAAATGTGATCACTATATATAAACAGAGTGAAACAAAAATCTAAACTGAAAACCTAAATGTAATAAAGAGGAAATTAGATTTCTTCAAAATAGGCAATCTAAATAATTTTCCCCATCTGTGATTTTTATCTTAGTTTGCTATCATATGGAAAAAATGTCATTAATTCAATGCAAATCTGTGCCCCTTGAAAACAACTAAAATGGGTAAGTGATGTACTAATTAGCTTCCTAATGGGGAAGGTTTTAATTGAACTATTCCATAAGAACCTTCATCAAAGTTTCCAGGGCAACTTCATAAAAGGATGTCAAACCTGGCCCATATTTTTATCCCCTTAAAAATAATTCTCAATACACAGAAACACAGCAATCTTACTTCTCTTCAATGCTGTTAACACTCAGGCCACTACATTTTCTGATGTCAGCAATCCCCTTCCCACAAATATTCCAAGTATGCACCACCGTCATTCTCCTTTCAATTATGTGGTTTCTCTGCTTCTTTACTGATTGAGTCCAGGCCTCTTGGATAATGAGAAGCATGTGCAGGGAAAATATGCTCTTAAAAAACACATACATCAGTTTCATCTGCATTATGGGGGGGTAGATCATTTGTCATTATCGAAAGGATCAAAATGTGAAGTTCGCTATGGGATACATAAAGGGGGAGAAAAGATCAGCATCAATGCCTAAAGTGGGGAGGGGGGCAGTTACTGTGATCTGTAGCAAAACCAATAAGAATAAGGGGGAGAACACCTCCCCTCCACCCCATTCCACCTTTTCTAGCTTGGCCACATTTATATTTAATGTTATCTTAATGTTGCTTTGGGGGGTATTTAAGTTCTGACATACGCATGGAAATGAGCCATGAATTGTACAGCAAGCATAAATAGTCCATCATTAATAAAAGCCAGCTGTGTATAAAACACAATGGCTGGGTTTCAGTTACTGGCTATCATCAGTATGTGTCACAAGCAAATATTACTCGAAACTTTCTCCCTTAAAACACACACACTCACTCACACACAGAAATTTGCTTTATTCTTCTTAATCTTTTGTAAGAGCTTTGAAGAACTCACTGATCTCTATGGCACATTCCAACTAATGCCTATTTCTGAAGTGATTTTTCATCACCCTGGCAGATGCTAGAGTCCTCTTACTTGAACTCCAACTTACCATATAGAACGAAAATGTTTAATTTTTTTTTTTTAGGCACAGAGGGTCAGTAATCCAAGTGTTGGGACAATCTTAATTATAGTTAGTAAGGCAATGTGGCACCAAAGGGCACTGTATGTTATAAGGGAGCAAAGCTCATTAAACGTGAACACCTGCTCAGGACCCTATAATAAGCCTGCTCCACCATCATACAAACACCTTTCATCCAATGACCTCAAAGCATGTGCCCAATATGAAGCATACCTAAACACCTCTGTGAAGTATTAATATCCTCACTTCCCAGAAGGGTAACTGAAGCTCAGAGCAACTAATTCATTTACCCTTGGTCACATGGCAAGTCAGAGAGGGTTGGGCAGAGAAACCCAGATCCCGGTTTCAAGTCACCCAGTCCAACGATATTTCATGGAGTTGGGGTAGCAGTGAAAGTGACTTTACAAATGTCAAGGGCAGCCTATAGAGTTAAAGATTTCTAAAAAGTTACCTTAGGAGATATTACCAAATATATCCATCTGCATTTTCCCCATGAACACATATTACAAAAATGTTCCTGTACTTAATAACTTGGTTCTTTCTAAGTACTAAAACCCATACTTCACTTTTCTGTGCTGGTCAAAGGAACTGAATGTAATTTATGATGAGCCACTGGTTTCCAGAAATGAATCTGTCCAAAATTGGAGATTACATGTATACTTTATGTTCACCATCAAAGGAAATGTAAGGGACCATGTAAGTGAACTTTCACTAGACAGTGAAGGCCTCAAATAGAAGAACCCATTCTATCCCTACGTGTCTTTTATTTCATTGTCTAAAATCCTTAGTTTCTATACAACTTTTGTCTAAATTAAACATATTTCAAAGCTATAAAACAAAACATCTGTGATTGACTGCTTTCTTTCTCATTTGTGAGATTTTACAGTCTATCCAAATTTGTAGCCTCTTGGTGAGATATCATGAGACAGTGACTTAAAAAAATCACTGCTAATGAAAACTAAGCAGTAAACCCTAGATTTTTTGCTTAAAAAGAATAGGGGAGGTGTAACATGAGGTCAAGGGAAACAGAATTAACTGCCTTGCTAGATACATGTACAACCCTAAATCACAGAAAGGGCTTAGGGGTTACTTATTAATCTGTTAGCCTCTCCTGGCATTCGAGGAACAGACGTATGTAATTCTTCAAGCGTATCTTAGTCAGGTTCTGACTTCACTCCTCCAACAGGTTTACAAAGCTAAGTCTTAGGTGGCTCTTATTTAAAAGCAGCATCGTACAGTCCTGTGACCCTAATGAGGTAAAATTCATCTAAGTACAAAAACAGAACTTGAAAGGAATGAGGAAAAATCAAAGCGGGTGATCTGTTAGGGTGACGGGGTTATTGATGAAGTTTTAGGCAGGGTCTTAGCTTTTTAATCTCATAGGTTAAGATCCAAACACAGACATTTATGTTGATATATCCTTACAGGTTTGGTTTTCAGACCCTGAAGACTACATGATTGTATTTATAACAGTTGCACCTCGTTCTACTAAGAATCATTTGCATTCACAGCAGAAATTAAAACATAGCAAGAGAATCATAAACTTTTAGAACTGGTTCTCAAAATCACCCTGTGTGACCTGCCACAGTTTGCAAAGGAAGAAACCTGCCAAGGATAGTCAAATGAGTTGGAGGTGTGCCTAGAGCCCATGTCCCTCTTACCAAGCTCACTAGGAAGGTTTATGATCCATTCTTAGATTAAAAATGGTACCAGTTGCCATTCATTACCAGAACCAATTTTCTGGATACTTGGCTTAGTCAAATAAAATAACTGGAAATAAAATCTTTTACCTATATGAAATAGATAGTCCTATTCTGAGATCTATCAAAATCTCTGAGAGCAAAACAAACTCCATTGTTACAAGTAGAGGCTAAACATGACCAGCTTTATTTACAGGCCAGAGTGATGTAGACAATTAAATCCATCCCACATAACAAAAAAGATTGCAAAGGCCAAATAATGGCCTTGCTTAATTCAAGCAATAATCATTAGGAGAAAATTCTAATGCCTTCCTTTATGCAATAAATACGTTTCTGTAAAGGCTCAGTTATATCAAGTTTTTATAGCCAAGTCATAGTTTAAAAGCACTAAGCAGCAAAGCAAATTCCTGTAAAGAAACTGTATTGGATTCTTTTATAAAGCAAATTGCCTCCACTTTTTCCTCTTTTTCCTTTTTTAGTTCACATTTTGTGTGTGTTGTGTTGTGTGTTCTGTGGGTTAAAAGGGGTCAGAAGCCCACCATGGAAGAGAGTAATGCAATATGGGCAGCCTGTTTAATGCCCCCTTATTTCCTGGGACCAAATTCTAACCTTTGACTTGGGGGTGGGACCCTAGATTTTGGACCAAAGTCCACAAAAGGCAGCAAGGAACGAAGAAGTAAGCAAGTCAAAAGACAACACGTCATAGTAAACGACCAACAAAAATTCCTGGGGACAGGAAATCAATGGAGCACAATTCTAAACAAATTGGTTTAGTCCCAAGCTAATTAACTTGTCAAGCAGATCTCCAAACCCACTGAATCCAGGGGGGAAAGAGGTGATGTAATAGGAGATTTTGGAACATTTACCCATTTACCATCCTAAAAGGCTCAATCACGACCACACGCACCTCTCTCCACCCCTTTCAGTGGGTTTAAGCTGGCCTTAATGGGTGCAAAGGACAATTTCTTCCAGACAGTCCCTAAGAATAGACTGTTCTCATGCATTCCAAATGCTCAGTCTCCATGGAGGAGGCTACCTGGTCACAAGCATTTCCCAAGAGGGAATATATCCTCTACTCCTCCTCAATGGTAACACCCCCACCCCATCAAAACAAAACAACTTCTAACCATCCTGACAACTTCAGGGGCTTTTTGGGGGGGATAGGAAAAGGAATCTTCAGAGAGGAATAGAAGAGTGTGAGAAACTCCTCTTGTCTCCAAATGGGTCGGGGGGAGGCCTGAAAAAGATGGATCAAAGGAAGAAAGGGAGTGGGGGAGAAGGACTGCTTAATTACAAAGACACCCTGTTTAAAGAAGGCAAGGCCTTGGTAGAGGGCTCTCAGGAGAGTCACCACAGCAGATGCACCCACTTAGAATTCTGGCACTCAATGGGACCTCAAGGTCATAACATCCAACCCTCTGCTTTCTCAATAGATGGTTATTAAAGCATTCTAGAAAGAAGCTGATCTGTTCTTTACAAACCTTCAGAAAACTTCCCACAAAATGCTACGGCTATGGGGGCCTCCCTGGTGGAACAAGGGGTTAAGCACAGCACTATGAAGCAATCCGCAGCCTCCGCAGCACGAGTTCGATCCCCGGGCCAGCCAGGGAGCAACCCACATGGCGCAGCAGACCTCTCCTGTCTTGCCCACTACTCCCCTCAGCAGGGTACTTAGGTCAATCTGCCTGTTCTGTTCCCCACTCTGTCTCTGGTGAATTCTCTCACCCCTGCATCTCTGGCCTGAACCCCAGCTCTTGTATGCATAAATAAATAAATCTTTAAAAAATGCTACGGCTATGTATTAACCTAATAAATTCTACTTCATAAACCAGAAATGAGATTTTAATGTTGAGATCCAAAACAGTATCAAATATGATTTTTACAATTCCCTTCTCACATCTCTGAAATAGGTCAACAGGTCCACAAAATTTTCAAGTAGAAGTTACTCTACATACAAGCATGGTGAGAGATTTCATTTCGTTCAAATCTGGTCTAAGTTAGAAAAGCACTATGACTTTACAGAGTCACAAACTTTTCCAAAGAAAGAAGTATCTTAAAATGAAGTATGATGTAGTGCCAGAAAGTGTCTGTAAATGACACCGGATAAACCCATACAGAATAGCTGGAACCTGAGTTATCATCTGTAAATAGATGCCACTACTCTACAACCACCTGGCTATTAAAATGTCCCAGGCCAGTTATAAAATGTAATTTGGTCAGGCCAAATTTTCCCTTCCAGCAGATCTGAAACACGATAGCCTTTAAAATTGTCACCCTGTAACGTTCCTTCTCTCCCTTCCTGCTTTCCCATTAACATCAGTGAACAAAATTATTTGAAAATATAAGTAATAATGTGTTCCCAAATAACCAATGGCTTGGGAAGATCTTGGTAACAGGTATTTGACCACCACCATTTTTATTAGTTCGCCATGCTTGCCCAACTGGAGATAGGTGGGAGATGAGCAGAGATTTATCCAGTGTCCAAAATGGCATTTCAAACTATTCTTAGCTACTAAATGAGGGTGCTGAAAGGTTTTAACTGAGGCGGCTTCACAAAGACTGGCCTAAGAAAGGACTTTTCACAAAGCCTAGTTCAAGGAGACTTCAATACCCTTAGCCCTCCATTATTGAAGATTATGGTGACTAATTATCTTCTTCTCTGAATAGGAGAAAAGGGGTATAGTCAAAAAAGTTTTAAACTCTTCCTAACTTCCAGTCCTCATGGGGAAGGGGGTATGGAGCAGGTGAGGGAGGAGAGCTAAATTAGACACTCCAAAGCTGTGGAGAATTCTTTCTAAAATATATGCTAGAGGCAGGAGATGCTATTTCTCACAAGCTTTCCTCTTCTTCCTTCATTGACTTGTACTTAGCCCCTTGGTGCAAATTACTATTAGTCTATTATCCGTGGCAACTTACCCAGGACTGCTCACACAGCACCAAGACTGTCACTTTCCCTCTCATTTTCCTTCCGTTCACTCTCATGTCTCTATAAAGTCCAACTTGCTGCTGAAACATTCACTTACAGAGAATAGGTTGGGACCCTCAAGGAGGAGCTGGCAAAACGAGTTACTAACATCTGTAAAGCTGAGAAGGGGCAACCCCTTCCTCACACCTCCCACGCCCACCAACACTTTAAGAATTGGGCCCCGGGGGAGGGGAGTGTGAGCCCCCACCCCAACCCTAAGCATGCAGGAGGAACTCCTCTAGCCATCTGAGATAAGCTCAGACATTCCTGCTGAGCTTCATGTAGACTACAAGTTCCCGAGTGTTTAAATTCGTTTCGTGCTCAGTTACCTAGAGACTTCCAAGAACCCCAGGAAGACGAGAAAGTAAGTGCCATGAAGTAGTGGTACCCACTAGCATCTCCGCAGGACGGGAAAGGAGCGCACACTCTAACTGATTTAACTTAACTGCACATCTCGGAAAACTCGCGGCCAGCTGCTGCAAAGAAAGTAGAACACACGGGCATTCCCACACAGCATTCTAGATCGACTCACTCGCACCGAGGGCACAATCAAGTTCATGCCACCATGGATTCCTGCCCCAGTTCCCCGCGAAAAGTAACCACGCGTCTCCTACCCCTGAAGGCAATGCAGACAAGGTGACGACTTCAAGTGGCTTCGGTTCCGGGCCGGCGGCCAGGGATGGGCACCGGGGACGCCCCAACTCCGGGCTGCTCCCCTCCTCGCTGCTCCGTCCGCGCTCTTCTTGGTGGCAGTGGACAGGCAGGATACCGGGCCGGAGGGTGGAGCAGCGGATGGTCAGAAGCGAGACAGACTGGAGGCGGGGGTGGAGAGGACGGTAAGAACTAAGAGAGGATGAAGCGAAAGAGAGCAGAGATGGAGGAATAAATCAGGGGGTCTACCAGCTTCAGCAGCCAGAAAGCTCCTCGGAAGGAAGGGGCGTGACTGCGATGAAGGCAGCTCCGGGGCTAAGGATGGGAGGTAGGGGAGGGGGCGATGGGTGGCTTTTCTCCTTGCGGTGAGCGGCTAGGACCGCCCAGGAGCAGGGTGGACTAGCGAGAGAGGCGGGGTAGAGGGCGGGGAAAGAAGGGAGGGAGCCTGCTTGGACACTGGGGGGTGCGGGGGCGGAAGAGAGGCGGGCCAGGGGGCGGGAAGTTTCAAACAATTGAACTGGCGGGGTCCGGCCACTCTGGCGAGAGAGGGGGTACCCGCTCTCGTGGCCCGACTAGCGTGGCACGACGCGGTTACAGTAGCCCTGCGAGTCTATTCAGGGACTGGCTGGGAGGAAGGGGAGAGTTGTGCAAAGGTTACAGTCATGATCTACGCCAACAGCGGAGCGGAGTCGCGAGGGAGAGCCAGTGCGGCTCCCAGCCCCACCGCGGCGGGAAGCAAAACAAATAGAAACGCCGAAAAGCCGCTTCTAGCAAGGCCGGCTTAAAATAAGGCAGGAAGGAGCAGCGCTCCTTGCTTTCCCTTCGCCTCCTGCTTGCTATTCCCAGCAGGCCCCCATCCAGGTAGCAGCTCGGCGAGAAGCCCTCCCTTCTCCCCCCGGCCCCAGCCTGCCCCTTCTTGCCCCCCGCCCGCGTCCCCGCCCCCTCCCCGTGGCGGGCGGGGGTGGCGGCAGGGCGGCGTGGGCGGGGCCCTGCGGAGCCTCCGCCTTCGGGGCGGGCTGGCGGGGCCGGCCTCCGCCGTGCGGGCAGGAGAGCCAGTCCACCCGCCAGCCTTTGGCGGCTCCGGGTTGGCGCAGTCCGGCCTAGAATTCGCTTGCGATTGGTCGCCCGCGCCGTCGATCGGATCTTTTTCTCCCACCGCCCTCAAATTAATAAAACTCAACAAGAGGCTATTGTCTCGCTCTCGTTCTCCCCCTGCTACTGCTGAGAAGAGAAAGATGAGACGCTTGGTTTCTCAGCCTGCTAAAACAGCCCGACAGAGTGTCGGTCGGCTCCGGTGCACCTTTATGGCACTATCCAATCCTCTGGGAATAGGTAACATTTCTTTCCCCTTAGAGCGTTAGGCCAGGGTCAGGGGGCGAGCACATGAAGTGTCCAGCTAGTGTTCACATTTCCCGGCTGCGAAAAATTGATACTAAGAACCCAGAGGGTTAAGAACATCTTGGAACACTGAAAAGCTACCATTTTACATCTGGGAAAACGAAAGCACAAAGAAATGGGGTAGGGGTAGCAGAACAACTTGGAATTTGGAACTAAAGGAAGAATTCATTTCGGACTCTGGCACTTACCAGCTAGTGTGCGACTCTTGTTACCTCCCTTAACTTCTCTGAGCCTTAATTGTCCTATCTGTAAATAACGACTGGAAGACATGCCTTATTAACTTGCTGGCACTGGTATATGAAAAGAAAATGAAGTGTGTGTGAAAACTGTAAGCCTAGAAACACTCCACGATATATGTGTTCCTACTTGTCTGTGGTGTCCCAAGGTGGAGAGTCACATGTTTAAGAATCAAGAATCAAATATAATGCTCATCTGTTCTACACATCTACGTCCAAGCTGTGTACATTTTGTGACTTTATTTAAAAAAAAATCAACTCTCTTCCCACAGTTTTTTTTTTTGGGGGGAACATGAAGTTGACTCCCTGCAGTTAAAATAATAAATTACCCCTTTTCTGACCAGGGTGGGTGAGATTTCTTTTTCAAACACTTCTGCAGTGGTGCCCCCCCCCTCCCGACCTAAATCTATTGTGGTGCTGGTACTGAAAGAGGAAATCATGCTGTGTATCTGCAAAGTGAACTTGAAAAAACAAATAAGAGGCAACATTTACCATGGAAACCATCATTCTCTACAGATCCATATTTCCTAGAAAACATTACAAGGAGGAAGCAAGTCGAAATGTAAAGGCCTTCACAACTCAAAGCTATTATAAGGAACTCAGTCCAGTGACAAAGTGACATCCAGTCCAGTTCAAGCCATGCCTGACAGGAACCTTCCGAGGGGTTATGGAGCAAGGCATGCGAGAGGAAGCCTGCTCAAAGGAAACCCTCTCTCACTATGAACAGGGTCTTAGAGTATCAGTGGTGCGGGGAAAAGGAACGGGCAGGTGGCATGCTGTGGGGTGCTGGGTGCCTCAGCTTGGTGCCCTGCTTGACTCACTGAGTTTCAGAAGCAGGAACATGGGCAAAATGGATGCTTGCTTTCACTGAGTTTATGAGTGATCTGATTTGGGTGATTTTTGCTTGGCGAAGGGGGAAATTTTTAGTGTTTGAAGGACATCAAGACACCTCGTTTGTAGAGCAAGGAAAGATTGCTTGGAGGGGTGGACAGCAAAAGCTTCAGAGGGTGAGACCATACGGCAGACAACCACCGATCACAGTGCAAACAGGGTCCTTGTTAAAATGAACCATGCAGTTCAAATGGAAACAGGAAAATATGCACACGGTAAAATTAAAACAGTACTAACAGGAGTAAGGTGAAGTTACTCTGCACAGCTCTGCCCTCAATAGTCCCTTTTTCTCCATGCCTCTTAAATGCCCTTCCATCTCAAGATAATTTCCTTAACCTCATTCTTTTTCATGAGAGCTCAGCTTTCCATTGCCTACACGTGCCACAAATCTTTCACTCCTTCCCCTGTTGAGAGGTGCTTTAAGACCATTCTCCATCTTATGCTGTCATAGAAGATACTGGAAACAAATCCTAGTGGCAAAGACCTGGTGACTGTGTTTGTGGTGTGCCTGTTCCCTGCCTTGAAGTTACCCTCAAAAGACTTTTCCGACCTGCCTTTCCTACCTTCCCCACAGATAATGGGACCTCCATACAATGGAAACACCCTAACACAATTCCTTTAACCCACCTCCTCAAGTTCTGCCTTGGCCATTTCCTTTCTCCGGATTTGGATTCTGAGGGAGTAGAGTGAGCACTGCTCTGTACTTATTTTTTTAAGATTTATTTATTTATGCATACAAAACTGGGGTACAGGCCAGAGGTGTTGGGGGGAGGTTAGAGGATTCACCAGAGACAGAGTGGGGAGCCGAACAGGCAGACTGACTGAAATACACTGCTGAGGGGAGCAGCGGGGGAGACAGGAGAGGTCTGCTGCGCCATGTGGGTTGTTCCCTGGCTGCGGGGCTGGGGGTTGAACTGGTGCTGCAGAGGCTGAGGATTGCTTCACAGTGCTGTGCTTAACCCCTTGCGCCACCAGGGAGGCCCTGCTCTGCACTTAATGGTGGATCAGGCTCTGTGTTCAGTCTCTTTTTAACTTGTGGAAAACACTTTTTTTTTTTTGGTACCTCAGCTTTACCCAGGTTTTCTAAACATCTTAGGTGTTCCTTCTCTCGTACCGTGCAAAATTCCTCTTTGCTTTTTACCCCCAAAACCCTTTAGTTTGTTTAAACTGAGTTTGAATTTAAAGCTATGCTTTGCCAGCTCTACTTTGAAGGGGAGGGGGGGGTCGAAGGGGAGGCCAACATCAACAAACATTGATTGAGTTGCTGCTATTATGGACAAGTCTGAAAAAACAAAGAGGGATGAGACTTGGCTCCTGCCTTCAAGGGTATATACATAAAACGACAACTAACAAGCATGCGCTAAGTGCTAAATGAATGGGATTGACAGTAAAAGCTGTGGAAGTTGAGAGCAGGGAGCAAAAACTAGTTCCAGAGAGTGAGTTTATACAGCAAAGTATGCCACACACATTTAACTAATCCCCACAGCATCCCTGTGTCTTCATATCCTGACTGTAAAATATGGAGAATACTGGGGCGGGGGGTGGCGGGGATACCAGGAGAATTAACCACTAGCCGTAAAACACCTGTGTAAAGACAGGGGCTTGCTCGTCTGGGTTACACGTTAAATACCTGCATATACCAATAATGCATATAGTGATCATTTTAAGCTTACAAGTTAAGAGTCTCCATCCCAGACTACCTATCTGGTTTGGCCTTTTTTATTTCTTCCATAAAATGCAACTCCTCCTTTAACATGCAATAGAGGTCAATGAATGTCTGCCTTGAAGACATTATCCTAAGCAAAGCAAGCCCAGCAGATAATTGTATGATTCTATTCGATATGAGGTAACTAAGGTAGGAAAATGCATAGAGGCGGAGGGGGGGGGCGGGGGTCATGGTTGTTTAATGAGCACAGTTTCTGTCTGGGATGATGAGAAAGTTCTAGAAGTAGTGGTGATCATTGTATATTCGAATATACTCAGTGTCACTGAATTGTACACTTAAAACTTTTAAAATAGTAAAGGTTATGTATATTTTACCACAATAAAAAATTAAAGGTAACACCCCTCAGGCTCAGTGTCAAACCATACCAACGATGGGGGCTGCCAGGCTATATCTCCTGTAGAATAGAATATCTTGGTGTTTAATGTGGGCAACTAATAAATGCTTTAATTTTTTTGAAAGTCAGCCTTTTGCCTGCAATATTTGAACCCCATGTACAGGAAAAGTAGGAGGGAGAAGTTGGCCTATAGTCTATTCCTGTTAAAGGAAAGACCCCAAAACCTTACTTTGCACTGGATGACATGCTCCCCACCAGCCAAGTCACCTGGGAGTGTGAAATGAGCACATCTTCCTCTAATTGCCTTGTGAACAGCTAAATCATTTAAATGCATTTACAAACAAAAGCAGAGGCAAGCACATACACCAGGGAAAATAAATCCTAAGGATTTATGGCTCCACATAACTCTCCCCTTCTCCCTCAACCCCCAAAACCCAAAAATATATCAAACACTGAAAAGCAGTGTTCTCCAAAATACCTCCTTAGGTCAGCTTCCTGTTTATTCATGAGGATACTAGCTCTGCACTTGGAGAAGCCAAGTGATTAGAAAAGAGCAGCTTTATCTCACGGGGAGAGGAACAAAGGGACGCACACACATGCAATACTAGCTTTGAGTTCGATGCTCTTCCTTCTGGATGCCCCTCTGCTCCCCTGCCTACCCTTCCCCAGCATATGACACACATACACACATGAGCTCAGTGATGCACACGTGCGCACGCACAGTCCAGACACAGGAAGTTTGAAGCCTGATCCATGTGTGGAAAACAGCAACGTGGGAATTCAGGAA